GTCAAAATTGTGTCATGTTTTGTTCTGACCAACATGTCTAGTACCATGATCTAATGGAGTATTTGTTTTGATGTGAGGATTCATTGAGGTCAAGAGAGTTTGATTTTGTATGCTTTGGTGGGTCACCCACGAGAAGTCATCCCCAATTCAGAAATAGCCATACTCAATCCAAAAAAAAGCCCAGTGCAATCCAACTCGAAAAAAGCTTAACCCATCCCACTCCATATAATCCGACCTATCCAAATCAAAAACACTCCAGTCCATCCAATCCCAAAAAAGTCATCTCCAATCTTTGACCATGTGTCCTGTTTTACCACATCGGAAACATGCCCAGAAGTACGGTAGCAAACTCTCCGCTGTTTCTTGCCACACTCATTACAAGTTGGTGCAGAATCTCTTGTCGAATTGGAGGCACTAGATGTTCCCGGATTTTGTTTCTTTGAAGTCGATGATCCTTTATTTGAATAAGAACCATGCATCTTTCCCCACCATTCAAAAGGTCGGTTATAGGATACCAAATTTGCCTCAGACATTAAAGCTCGGTCAAGGATATCTACATACTTTGGCAATTTCAAGGCAATTACTTTTTCTTGAATTGCATTTTGAAGTCCACCCTCAAACTTTCTCGCCTTTATATAATTAGTGTCAACCATATACGGTGCAAACCATGCTAACTCAATGAACCGTGCCTTATATTCAACTACCTTTTGATTGCCTTGCTTCAATCCTTTAAATTCAGATACTTTTCAGTCTCTAATGTATCGGGGAAAGTACTTCTCGTAAAATATTTCGAGAAATTTTGCCCAACTAACCCCTTGATTTTCATCTCTCACCAATATCACCATCTACGAGCCTCGCTTTCCAGAGTAAATGCCGCCAACTAAACTTTTTGTGCATCAGTGCACGGGAATACTTCAAACAACTTCTCTACACCAAGGACCCACGCCTTGGCTTTCAGAGGATCTACTCCACCCCAGAACAATGTGGCTTAATCTTCTTAAATTCTTTAGTCAAAACA